GGGGTAGAGCAGTCGTATCCCAACTGGAGGGTCAGAGGATCAAATCGCGGTGCCTGTAGTCCACGTGTCGAAGTGTCTTTGAACAAGACACTGAACCCCCAAGTTGCCGCCGATGGTTAGAGCCATCGGTTGAATTGGCACCGCAGATGGCTACCATTGGTTTTGTACTGGAAACAAATTCCTTGTGTGTAATATACTTGGCCAATAAAGGTAATTATCCTTATCAAATTTAACCTTTTCCTCTTTTTTCGTTAATATGTAGAACACATGAACTGCCAGCTGCTCCAAGAAAGTACTGGGGGTTGGACGGGGAGGTTGGCAGTAACACAGCCAACTCGAACAAATCTCCTCAGCGCTCAAACCTCAACTCCAGCTATTCTCCTTTGCATTCCAGCACAGACTACGGCAACTCTCCTCAGCACTCGAACGATTCTCCCCAGCACATTAGCAACAACCCTGGCTGTTCTTCTCGTCACTCCATGGGCCGCTTTGGTGGGTCCTCTCAGCAGTCTGGAAGCAGCACTAGGGGCACGCGTGGCTCTCCTCAGCAGTCCAGAAGCAAGGAGTGATAACTTCAGAACTCCTCTTGGAGCTCCCTCTGGTGGTGTTATCCGCTGTACTTTTTTTTTTTTCTCCCCTTTTGCTTGTATGAGATAACATGCAACTGTATTAATATATTTTTATATTTTCCATAGCTATTTGACAGAATCTCCTGACCAAACAGGAGATCATTCTTGACCAGTTAAGAACAATCATCCTAACCTTGCAAGGCACTGGAGGCCTTAGACATACCACAGATGCTGATGTTCTCGAACCGGGAACTCTTCCTTTTCACAATCCGGAGTCGCTGTTAGACCTCAGGTTCTGACCTAAAGCAAAAGTTGGTGAGTGTCCTTGGTCCAAAAGTAATCGGAGCACTTTCAAGTATGTAACAGTCCTGGTCTTGATTTTTTTCTTTTCTTGCCACTGTCATCCTCAGTCTTATCAATTTCACATGTCTAGCCATTGTGGTTAACCTGACAAATTATTCTTATAGGGTACACAATCTTTCTCCTGTGAATAAGTTACCTACCAGAACATAGCCTGCGTTCAGAGAAATTAACTATACTTACCTGAATTCTGCCTGCTTCCTGACGTCTAAATTATACCTGCCTGATTAACTGAAAAGTTTTCTTACCTGCCTCCAGTAAAGGAATTTAGACTCGCCTGATGAGGCATTCTTGCTTGTACGGTTATCTGGCCTCATATCTGTTAAACTTACCTTAGTAAGGTCCACCATTATACCACCTCCTAGAGGATATTTTTACTGCTCAAAGCTGACTTTTCCACTGCTTGGGAGACAAAGTTGTGATTCACTTCCGCCTCGTTTTAGTTTTTGTCTGATGGTTCTCCCAAAATGGACAGGGGAAGCCAACCCTGGTCCCCAAGAGCTGCAGCCCTGCTTGTTTTCCAACTATCCCTGCCCTATCCACCGCTACATACCTAGGGCAGGTGTGTTCAGTCAGTCAGAAGCTGGAGGATATTAATTCACTGTCTTTTCCACTCCACCACCTCCTCTGTAACTTTAATCCACAGTCACTCCACTTTACCATGCCTGGTCACCCACTGCCCTTCCCCTGTTATCCCATGCTCACTCTCCTTTATTTGCCACACCCATGCCTAGCTTTAACTCTTCAGCTAATCAGGTCATTTAAACTCCTCACTCACTGTCATATTGTTCTTCAGAATACCATACCACATCCCTTGGTGTCTTCATGCCAAGATGATTCATTTCTCCTCCAATATCTCTTCCTCCTCTTCTTCAGTTTGGTTGTTCACTGGTTGATTGTTTTTCCTCCTGTTACTAGCAGTAGTTGTTGTTTTCCCATGTTAATTTGTTTGTAGCTGTTAGTGCTAACCCTTTCTGTTCATGCTGCCTCATTTACTCGTCCAGTAATTTGTCCAGTAATTAAGAGGTATCTGAAGAAACCTTGGGACAGGATCTGGAAAATGCATCAATTTTGATTAGCAAAGTTTCAAACTTGGTTTGTGGTTTGTTTGTTTTTTCCCATTCAAAGCTTTTAGGTACTTATTTTATTTATTTTTTTGTTCTTGCCAGATCAACACATTAGCACTGAGAGGGGGCACCAATGTCAAAGAGAGTGTTTTGAGGATGATGAGCCATGTCATGACAAATCCCCTTGCACTTAAAATCAATTGGAGAGGAATCAGTGGGAAGGCTGCATTCCACCGAATGGTGTTAAAGGATGTTCTAGCATGTAAGTTAATGTAGTTTGTGTGTGTGTGGGTGTTTGCTTTTTGGCTATTGGAGTATTCAAGAAAATAGATTTTATAGTACATTTAATAAGAAATGTTTTATTTAAAGGTGCAGTAAGACAAAATAGACTGACTAGCACTGCAAGCGACCTGGAGGTTGAGGCTGCCATAAAACGGTTGGTACTCTTTCAGTGTCCCACCCCATATTTACATGCAGTACTATTTTAGAGCACACTTTGTATCAGTGTGTTAATATTAATTTGTAAATTGCCTTAACAGGTGGTTGCATCTTGCCTCTGACCGTGATGGAGGGAGGAAAGCTCATGAGGGTTGAGCTGGTGTTGCTGCACGCAGTCACCAAATTTGACGGATGTTATGTTATACCCAACGACTTCTGCTTTATCACCTTCGTTTTACACAGACACGAAATCTTGTTGGCTGAACTGTTCACCGTTTTAAATTTACCACACCTGTTTGAGTGTTTGTCCAAAAGGTTTATATGTTATTGCTGTTCATAAAAAAATGTAAAATTTTATCTTTGAATGCAAACTTTTGCAGTTTTGATGGACACTATGCTGTTAATTGCTGTTTGTGAATAAAAGCACAATCCTGTGAACTGGGATAAACTGTGGAAGTACTGTAAGTCATAAATCATTTAACATAAATAATGGGAATGTTTTATTAGTTTGTTTTAGCTTAATATATGTTTCTAAAGGTAATGATTAACTGAGTCAAATAAGGGGTAATTAGATGGCCATGTGCTGGATGTTGCTTAGGACAGGTTTGCTATCTAGCTACCAGATGTGGGCCAGTCAAGGACCGTTATTCCAAACCAAATGTGAGCCATAAGACAGAGGTACATCTGGGCCAGATCCGGTCAAGATCAGGTTTGCTATCTAGCTGTCAGATGTGGGCCAGTGAAGGACCGTCATTCCAAGCCAAATGTGAGCCATAAGACAGAGGTACATCTGGGCGCACCAGTGAAGAGACATGCTTACGAGGCACAATTCAAACTACAGGCTATCAGTTACGCGGTTGTAAATGGGAATAGAGCAGCTGCGAAAGAATTCAAATTCAATAAATCTATGGTTCGGAAGTGGATTTGTGGGAGAAGATTGATTAAAAAATAATGTGTGTATTGTTAAATAGTAGAATAAAGTTAAACTAAACTCACTGTTTTGCTCCCGTTACGTTTTAGCATGCGCCTTATGTATGGGTTAAGTACAGAAATAGACCCCGTAATTGAGACTGCGCCTTATAATCTGGTGCGCCTTATGGTGCAGAAAATACGGTAATATATGTTTCTAAAGGTAATAAGTGGTAAATCTAAATTTAGATGGCCATGTGCTGGATGTTGCCCAGGGCAGGTTTGCTTTCTAGCTGCCAGATGCGGGCCAGTCAAGGACTGTTATTCCAAATCAAATGTGAGCCATAAGACAGAGGTGCATCTGGGCCAGATCCGGTTCAGATCAGGTTTGTTATCTAACTGCCGGATGAGAGCCGTTTAAGGACCATCATTCCAAACCAGATGTCAGCCGTAAAACAATTGTGAGTCTGAGCAGAATCTGGCCCACACAGTTTGCTATCTGGGAGGTGTAACTACAATCTGAAAAGCTTTTAAATGGTATGACTCAACAATATTCTAAATAATAACTGCAATAACTCTGTTGATAAAATTTTGTTTTTAAACTGTGTACAATTTTCCATTTTAAAATTTAAAAAGGTTCAATTAGGAAAAAATTCTTGAAGCTAAGGTTCAAAAGATCATAGTGTCTATCTATTTAGTGTGATATTTAAGTAGATAACAGCAGTTAACAGATGCCAACTGCGTCTGGGAGACAGAATTGTACTGCATTTTGGTAGCGATCTTGTAGAAAGAGATAAACAGTAGATCGTAACGTTTTCTGCTGCTAGCAGGATGGGGTGGACTGGTAGTGCCAGCGCCTCAGAGCCGCTCTATATCCAGCTGATGAGAATCAGCTGTGAGCGTCCGGTGGGAGCGTCTGCAGGGAGAGACGGAGCGAGAGACGCGGCGATGAGCAAACGTGACATCTGCATGAAGTTTAATATATATATACAGCACTTTGTTGTGTTATTCCACTGTTGTATTATGTCAAGATTAAACAAAATGAAAGAACAGTTACGATTTACAAATATATGCCGACGTTTTGTTTCAGCGGATCTTCTGTATTGACTGTAAGTCTATGAGCAGTAAGATCGTACTGTCTGGAATGTGCGACTTACGCAAATACCGTTCATACCATGCTATAATAATAACACAGCTGGATTTGTGGATTTTCTCTACGATTGTCATCTATTATATGTGTATAAAGCTTAATAATGGCATAATAGGAGCACAAAAGCGGCAATGAGGAAGAGGAAAAGCATAAAGAGAGAGCTGCTAGACTGGGGAGTCATGTGACGCAAAGGCTGCCAATGGCATTGGATTGTATTGGCCCATTCGTTGTCTATGGACAAATAGACAAAATATAAATGT